GGAAGGGTCACCAGACCCGAAACATTAACTCTGTTTTTTCCTTCACAGATGCTGCCAGACCTGCTGAGCTTTTCCAGCAAATTTGTTTTTGTTCCTGATTTACAGCAGTTCTTTCAGTTTTTATTTAATAAACTTACACATTGGTATACCGATGTGATGTGAGTTACGTTTTTCAAAACAACTTTATTACGCTTGTGGCCAAATAAAGTTTTAGTCACTGTGATACCGAAGGGACCTGATTACTTTTTTCCTTGAATAAAATTGACCCAGGATGAAACAACCCAAAATTGATGAGGATTAATGAGCATCATCAATGTCACAGAGCATGGGCTAGAGATCTATTGACATGCGGGTTTGAGAGAGTGCCTAGCTTTATCCCATGAGCGAAGACAAAGATCACGCATATATTCTCATACTGTCACTCAGACCAGGGAGGCCAAGTGTGCTCTGTCTCCTATGGAGCATTTCAATATGTGAGAAGCATAGAATTTCATGTGTTTCTGTTATGACATTTTTAAAATCTTTCTGCCTGTGATTATTGAGCAATGTCATGGCAGTGTATTCTTTAGTATTGTTTAGTATTTCAAAGATCAACTTATAAAATGATTGTGGGCTGAGTTTGGATACTCTCAGAAATCTATCAGTGAAGTGCATTTAAGCATGTTGACTTCTGTTAGCCCTACCTTTGGCATGGTGTATAATTTCAGGGAAAATGAGTTTAAATGGTAAATGTTTCCAGTCTTAAGGTAATGCCTGACTACTCAGGGGAAAGGATTGCAAAACAAGTCAAGTGACAAGACTTCATACGGTCTGGGATACTGTCTCTGAATTATTCACATTTTATTTTCTATTGCTTAGTTTTAAAATTCTCAGACCATCATTGGCATTGCATTTTTATGTTGAAATGCAGTGTGTGACTGTTGAATACAGCAATTCCTGCACATTTTGCATTGTAACCTTATCAAATTAAGAACGCCTCACAGCAACCAACCCAATTTGGGTTTAATGCCAATAGCTGCTATTTCAAGAGGCAGAGGTTTCAGGTGCCCTTCTTAAATAACAACAAAGCAATTTATAGCTTAAAAGTGCAAGCACTACAAACATTAAGCAGTTTCAACTAAAAGTTAGACACAGCCCATGATGCATCTTGTTCATGGATTCTGGGAACGTTGCTTGAAGTATTGTCTGTTGTATGTTATATGTCTTGTCTTTTGCAAACAAGCAACTAGAAGGACATCACATCTCGGAGAGTCGCAAGTCTTATGTAATTACCGTACTTTCACGAAAAGAACCTGCAGGGTATATCTTTTAAAACGTATTCCAGAGGCAATGTGGCTTATATTCGTGGGCGGGTTATATGTGCGACTTTTTTTGCAGATGGCTGGCCAACTTCGGTCTTCCTACAGGTAAGAGGTAAGTCATTGCAAAAGTGGAGATGGCTAACGTTTTAAACTGTCTGTGTGAACAAGGGAACTAGCTGTCTTCGCATGTTTATGAATGGGTTTAAATCTTTATGTATGTGGATGAGAGGGTAGTTTTATCAGGTATTGTATAGGGCCATTTTGACGCGGGATGGATTCATTGTGCGGGATTACACATTTTATTTTGTTCTCAGAAGCACATTATAATAATGGTAATTAGGTTACAGCCCAGGTTTTTTTTCGTGAAATTACGGTAACAATCCAAAATATGAGTTTTAAGTTAATTGTAAAAGTTAGTGTAACCAGCTATTCTAGCACCAATTTTATTTAGCTACGTAAGAAAGTGAATTACTCTAAATGGGAATTGATGCCATTAAGCAGGGGATCAAACTGCTAATTTTTTGTCCCCAGTTGTGATGACATTGGATGGTATCAGATGTCCCATTTTCTTCTTGTTTTTTTTCCAGCTCGCAAGCAAGAAATCATCAAGTTAACCGAGCAGCTGATTGAAGCCATTAACAATGGGGACTTTGAAGCTTATGCGTAAGTGAGAAGATTACCTTTTTCATTCATGAACACTTGGTTACTGTTACATTCTGAACATCTCTCATCTAGGGATATTGAAGGCAAGTGATATTCAAACCAAACGGGTGACAAGTGCCGGAAATTGAACCATCAACCCTTCACATTCAATGGTATGACCATCACTGAATCCCCCACTGTCAACATCCAGGGAGGTTGCCATTCGATTAAAAACTGAACTGGACTTCCTATGTGAATACATTGGTGACAACAGCATGTCAGCGACTAAGAATTCTGTCACAAGTAACCCCCTCCTCCCACCCCACCAGGGCCTGTCCACTACTGACCAGGCATAAGTGAGAAGTGTAATGTGTGATTGAACAATCCCAGTTGCCCAGTTGAGTGCAGCTCCAACAGTGCTTAAGAAGCTTGACACTCTCCAGGACAAAGCATCCCACTTAATTGGCTCCACATCCATCTTCTTTGCTTTTCATTGCCTCACAAAGGCTCCTTCCACAGCACCTTCCAAACCCATAACCGAAATGAGCCAGCAGGACCTAAGCAACAGATGCACGGGAACAGGATCAACTGCAAGTTCCTCTCTAAGCCATGCAACATCCTGACTTGCAACTATATCATTTTTCCTTGACTGTAGCTGGGTCAAAGGCTCGGAATTCCCTTCTTAACAACACGGAGGGTGTACCTATGCTCCAAGGTTGCAGCCAGTATCTCACCATCACTTCTTGGAGTGCAGTTTGGGATGGGCAACAAGTGCTGGCATTGGTAGTGATGTCCACCTTCCAATAAATTTTTGGGAAGTTAACATGTTAAAAGTTTCCATGGAAGTCAATGTCTGGATATTTTGAAAATGTGTTCCCATTTTGGATAGATTTCTAAAGTGTAACCTGAACAGTGGTGAGAGAATCCTCGTGAAGGCTTGAACTTGGTAGCCACCATCTCATTCTAGTTTGTGTACTGATGTGCGGCAAAGGTTGTTGAGCTTTTGACGTGGAAAGAAGTAACAAATGCATCCTTATGACTTCTGGTACCTGAGCAACCATTCTAAGCAAAGTTTTCCCTTATACCTTTCTCCTGAACAATTGTATTTAAGACCTCAGTGGGAACAACAGAGCACTTGTGGAATTTATGATCCTCAGTCGTGTTTAGAAATTACATTTCCTGAAAACTTTTATTAATTTTATTAATTATTTTCAGGAAAATATGTGACCCAGGACTGACCTCGTTTGAACCTGAAGCTTTGGGTAACCTTGTTGAAGGAATGGACTTCCACAGATTTTACTTTGAGAATTGTAAGCAATTTTTCACATTCATGAATTGGAAAATATAAGTAAAAGCACGCTTGCCTGATGTCTCCAGCAAAGTGCGTCTGAGCTTCAGTTACCCCTGTGGTTTCTTAACCTTTTTCTCAGAATGTTGTGGGACCACGATTCCTACCAATGGCAGTTCCTGTAATCAGTAGATATTTGGTAGTAAGAGTTATTCCTGCTTTCTTTTCAAAAATCTTTCCTCATTTTCTACCTTTTGATGCCATCCCTAAATATTACAAGTCCTTGGGCGAGTATTTGATGAGAATATTCTGATGTGCCATCAATGAATACAATTTCTACATAAGCTGGATGGATTTGCATCACATATCAAAAGTCTGACTGACACCTCATTCAGAGGCAACCTCCCTAGTTAAGATTCCAAACACTAAAACTGATGATCTGTCACACAAACACAGTCTTCTCCCAAATTCCAAGACAAGGATTGACCCACCACCCTCCCCACTTCTGTTCATGCCAGTCTCTGCACCTCCTGAACTATAGAGAGGCAACTTGTTCCCTTGCTTGAAGTAATTTCATTTTCAGAGTTGTTGTCAACTTATGTGAAGGTAACACGCCTCTACCTGTCTGCCTGTTGAGGATAGGGCTGCATCTCATCAGCACTGTAGCATAGATTAGGAATTCAGTGACCTATTTTAGTCAAATATACTAAGTGCCCACACAACATACTTATAGACATACTAAAACAAGACAACTGAAGGAGTACTTGCTGGTAACAACTGAAAATAGAGGGGCCTTTTTCTGTTTCTCTGTGTAGAGGATTCCTGTTGATGTGAAGTAAATGAACTTCTCCACAGTAGTTAATAAAATCAACAATTGTTCAACTCTTTCTCTTATGCAGTGTTATCTAAAAACAGCAAACCCATCCACACAACTATTTTGAATCCTCACGTACATCTGATTGGAGACGATGCTGCCTGCATAGCATATATTCGCCTCACCCAGTATATAGACATTCAGGGTAGGCCACGAACAACCCAGTCAGAGGAGACACGGGTCTGGCACCGTCGGGACAGCAAATGGCAGAATGTTCACTTCCACTGCTCGGGTTCTCCAGCAGCACCACTCCAGTGAAGGTATGATTTCAACATTGGAAATGAAGTGATGAACCAATGAGAGAAAGGGTAAAGGAAGTAGTTTATAATGAGTCAGCATCAATTCAGCATGTTATTAATTTTTTTTTTCATGACTTTGTGTATTGAATTTGTGCAAAACACTGAGCCACCATGCCTCTGTTTGAAACTTTGCGAGTACGCCAAACTTTCCATAGCACGGTGAAGTCACAGAACCTCCTGGTGTCCTGGATGATGTGTGCACGAAGTGTCGCCAACTGCAGAAACTTGAGCTCTGGATTTCAGAGCTTGACTGGCAGCTGGAGACACTGTGGCACAGCCACAAGACTCACCATTATGTGGATTGCACATTTAGAGGGGTGGTCACACTGTAGCTCAAGGGAAGGGGTGACCACCTGGCAGTCGGAAAGAAACAGGCAGGTAGTGCAGCAATCCCTTGGAGTCTGCTCTCAAACTGGTTTTCCATTTTGGAAGCTGGTGAGGACACTGGTTCCTCAAGTGAGTGCAAACAGAGCTGAGCTTTTGGCATCGCAAGCAGCATGTCCGTACAGGAGGTGTGGAAGGAATGGCATTAGTAATAGGGGGTTCATCGGTTAGGGGGAACAGACAGGCATTTCTGTGGCCACAGAATGGCTGCAGGGCATCCTGAAGAGAGAGGATGATAAGTCAGAGGTCATGGCACATGTTGATACCAACGATATAGGTGGAATTAGGAATTCAGAAAGCTAGACAATAGGTTAACAAGCAAAATCTCAAAGGTTGTAATCTCTGGATTACTTAAAGTGCCACATGCAAACAAGTACAGAAATAAAAGAAAAAAGGTGAATGTGTAGCTCAAGAGTCGGTGCAGGAAAAATGGTTTCAAATTCCTGCACTTCTGGGACCGTGGTTAAGGTGGGACCTGGACAAGTGGGATGGTTTGTACGTGAACGAGAATGGAACCAACCTCCTTTTGGGAGGGTTTGCTCGTGCCGTTGGGAGAAGTTTAAACTAGTTCGACGGGGGAAGGGACATACAGTGATAGTACAGCCAGGGTCAGCGTACGATAGGAAAGGAACCAAGACACAGGAAGTTCAGACATGTTGAGTTTGAAGGGAGTAAGGCAAGGTGGGATTGTCTTTAATGCTGGGAATATTTTAGGTAAGATATGGGTTATGGGCACAGATTGACATGAGGAATTGTGAAATTGCTGTCACACGGAGATGTAAATTAAGGGAGGGGAAGGACTAGCAACTCAACATTCTGGGATATATGATCTTCAGGCAGGACATGGGTAGGGGAGGGAGAGATGAAAGAGGTGGTGATGCTGCATTCCTAATTAAGGAGTCAATTAGTGCATTAATGGTGGACGTCAGCTTGGAAAGGGCCTTCAAAGTGCTGTGCATTAAACAACAGAAAGAAGACCAGAAAATTTGTTCTTCATTCACATTCTGTTCAGTGTCAGTCTGAAAAGAGGCTGTTGGACATGAACAGTTCACAAGTCCAGTTAGATCTCTCTCTGCTTTCACCATGTTCTTGCTGTTTAATCAAGCCCCAAGTGAACTTGCTTATCATTCATAAAATTCAAGAGTCTGCTTATAATATACTTGAATCTTTCACTGCAGAACTGAAGAAGTTGGCAGAGTTCTGGCCCAAGCAAATATTCAAGCTGAGCCGCGACCTGGTGGCCTCTGAAGACCAGCAGTAACATGCACGTGTCCGCATGCACATTATGCTCCTGGTGGCTGCATAATTGTCACGTTCGTGGAACTATATGGTGTTTCTTTCAACTGTCTCAAGATGTAGACATTAACTTAAAAAAAAACAAAAAAAACTTACAAAATCAAAAATGGCTACTGTATATGTACTTTATATAATTCACATTTGATGGCAGTGATTTGTACAATTCATTCAAAACATTTGCCAAAGCATGAAGGGTAAAATTTAATGGTGATCATCCTAATGTTGGAGGGTTAGTGTTCCATTTTATATTTTCTTGTACACTAAAGATGTGTCACTTATTCTTTTGGGAACTTAGTTCTGACATCCTTACACTTGACTCAATGAAACTGTACATGAGGCCCCATCACAGCCACTGGTACTTCTGGAATGGTATTAAGGCAGAAGGCAGCCAATCAAATTAAGCAACCAACACAATTCCAAAAAGGCATCACAAGCAATTTTTAAAATGTGGAAAGTATTATTTCTGAAACAGTCTTCTGCCATCAACAAATTGTCACACAAGGTTGCTTCAAGTATATGAACAAACACAGCGACCTGATTTTTCATTTCTTACACTTTATGTATGCTGTATTGGAGGAAGAAAGGTAGCTAGGTTCATTGATTTTTCCTCTGTTCCATGTGAAATGTATTGGTTTGATAGAACAACCTTCAAAGAAAAAGTTAATTTAAGAGGTAACAGGTACATCACTTGAAATAGCAGTAATGTGAGAAAATTGACAAGGCTCGGGCGAATACCTCCCTGGTTCTGTTCTTTTGAGAAGTGAGTGAGTTAACTATAGAAGTAGCCAGATCTAATTTGGTGTTCTTTACTGTTTTGTTATACTGTGCTACCGACTCTAGGATTTAAAGAAAAACCTGTTGCCATCAGTTAAAATTGTATATGCATTTTTACAAATGCACGTTATATATTTATAGCCAATAATTTTTGTGTTTAACTTGCCATGGGTTCAGATGATGTACTGAGCTTTATTGTTTTCAAATTACAGAGTCTTGAATGCGTGTAGTGATACAATCTGATGTCTGAGATTAGCCTGCCTGGAAGGCCTCTCAGAAGGGCATGATCACTTTGTGGTTTCTTTGTTAAACTTGTGTAGAAAATAGCTTATTAAAATAGCCAAAAAAAAGTTCTTTTGCATGACATAATTAACCCTGTTGGTTTAAAAAAAAGTTGCCCGTAGAGCTCTACATTTCTCTTACCTTCTCCTTTCTGAGCTTTGTAACAGCATAAAACCTTTTTTGTCTGCTGTGTGTAATGAAAACCTGGTTTGCATGCACTTGATCAACTGCTTAACAATTTTGTGCAGGGGCTGTGGAAACGCATTGAGAGGACTCCTCTTATCGTGTTTTTATGGATGTTTTAAATTAGACAGCTTAGGGATCTTAAGTGTAATGAGCTGTGTGTGGATTTTTTTTATTTTTTTTTACAAGGGCTGTGGAACCTATGAATTAAACAAATGAGTTTTACCTCATTTAATGCCTCGCGTGGCTTGAAGTGTGGAAGTGCTGATTTTGCTGGAGATATTTTTACGGTTGAAAATGATGGACTATATTTGCTTTTTACACAGCAACTTGCCTGAATATGAAATGTGATTTTTTTTTTTAATTATTCAAGTTCTCTGCAGCTGAAATTGTCAGGTCTGGTTTATATGAGGACAAAAAAAACAATATGTTACAGGATGTGGTCTATGTGTTCCTCTTACCATTTAAAATTGTTGATATGTCAGAAATAAACTTGACAATATGAATAGTGTAAATTCATTGTTTTGATCATGCTTTATATTACAATAGCACTATCTACACATTCAAATTCAGCCTTGTTACACTCCAGAATAATGTCACTTCTCATCATGGACAAACACAGTAAGAATTCCATGTTCCAGTTGGGTAGAAATATTTTTGAGATTGAGCAAAAGCCCTTGGATATTTCATTTCCAAACGCATTATTTTGTAGGGACAGACGTTTGGTTCTTCACTTAAATTATACAGTAACACTGGATTTTTAAGTTTACTTAATGGAAGAACGAAGTGGAGGAATAATGGCAAATGGAGTATTATGTGAGAAAATGTGTAATTGTCCACATTGACAGGAAAAACTAAAAAGAAACCATGATTTAAATGATGACAGATTGCAGAGCTTTCAGATACAGTTGGATCGGGCTGTCCAAGGGCACAAATTACAGAAAGTTAGTATGCAGGCACAATGAGGAACTTTACAAGCCAATGAAATGTTATTATTTATTATGGGGTAACAGATCCCAAAGATAGGGAGGTTACATTATGTAGCGATGTGCCATGACGCTGGGCAGCTTCTAGCGGGACTCTCATCAGTATTTACCATGCTCGCAGTCCCTGTCGCAGATCTTGGTCAACATGTTAACATTGAGCAGAAAGATTCCAGTGAATATTTTGCTGGCCATGGAGTGAGACGACTTTGTGACTTTCACGAGATTGGTGAGTTCCTTTCCAATTTTACAGGTCATACTCTTGTGGGTTGGTTCCTTGCTCCCCTCAAAACTGAGAGTTCAGTGAACTGCTACATCAGAGGTACTGACATCTGGCCTTGTGGACTTCAGCTGATGTAACATCAGTTCCCAGAGCACTGCACTGTCACAACACAAGAATTTTAAAGTCTTCCAGCTTGAACCTGAGGCAAGGTTCCCCAATTTGTTACCATGTGAGACAGGACACCTCAAATCATTAAGCTTCCACAAAAGGAACCATGGATTGGCTCCTTTTGGTTATTCGCCTGTGGCTGGTCACAACCAGCAAGATTCTTTTGTAAAGAATCCTTTTCCTTGTGGATGCCTTTCTCCCAGATTCCAATGAACGAATGCTCTAACCGGAGCCAATTCACCAGGCTTTTAAAAAAAACATGCTGTTAATCACTAAATTGGAGAAGAACCAGTGGTACAACAGACTCAGAACAGAAATAAGAGGTGTATTTAAAAAGATAGAAACAAAACGAAGTCTCTGAATTCTTTTGTCAACAACCTACGATGATGCTGCTGCCATTATTACATGGCACCAGGAGCAAGGCAGTTGAGCATCCAAGATTCTTCAGTTTGGTCAGTTAATCAAAATTCTGTTTGAGATGACTGGCAACATGCAGGTGACACTGTATGCTCCTTTGCAGTGCAGTGGTGTGTAAAGTTTCTATTGTTAAAGCTCTACTGCTCACAGCACTCAGGTCCATGCAGCAGGACAGCCAGGCAGTGACAGAAACACAGACTAGTGGTGCAGTCAGCTTCAAACCACGTTTTTGATCTCTTCCCGGAAGGAAACAACATATCTTGGTTAAATTACTTTGTGCTATCCAGAGTTTGTTTTGGAGGCCAGGGAAGAGGACAGGAAGAGGCAGCCTACTTGCTGTCTCTGCTTGATAAACACCTTGGTTGTTTTGAGGTTACCCTGACTTTTTACTCATGTGACAGTCTTGGCTGCATACAGGACTTTGCCATTCACTGCATTTTCATCTGCCTTTTTTTATGTTGCATTTTTTTTTAAAACCCACATTTTGAAGTAGTAAGTAAGAAAGAAAATGTCAACACTTTTGGATTCTGATCCATCATTGTAACAAAATTCTTCAGGAAATTCGTTAATCATTGAACCCAAGCTTTCGAGCCAGAAAGAAGAATGCTGGAGGAGCAGCTATTATTATTGTCTCTCATTTCTTAGGCTAATATTTCATCCCATCATTTGCAACGAAGTGATCACGAAGCAGCAGTTTTCCCGATTTGTTGATTGCTTCTTCATTACTGGATGATGGTGTGCTGAGGAAACTAAAGTGATCTGCCCATTTTTTTAAGAATCTGTAGTTTATCTGAGAGTAGTGTTGACTTGTTAGCACCAAATTTGTGAGAAACAAGTGAACTGGGACCCATAAACAGATTCTAAAGCATGACAGAAACACGTGAAATGGAACACAAAGACTTACCTAAGGGTCAAAACGAAAAAGTTTAAAACAAAGCACTGTGTCCTTTCTTTGTCGTCCGAAGGCAGAGGTTGTTAACAGCAGATAAAATTAAATTGCCAGAGAAACTCAGCAGATTTGGCAGCATCTAGAGAGAGAAAATAGAGTTGCGAATCCAGTGACCCTTTTTCAGCACTGGTAGTCATTTTCTCACCAGTGACGCTGCCAGCCTTGCTGAATACACAAGTGGCATTTTGACTTTAACTTGAACACAAAATTAAAAACTGTAAGCATGTGAAACTCAGGTGAAGAACTGACATTTACAGTGAATTATTCAAGCTTCGGTGTGAATTCCTGAGATTGTGACACCAATTTACATTTTCAGCATTTAAGTATTTGCCCAATGCCTTCCCTTTCAGGCACATGTCTGGTGGCCATGTGGTTAGAGTGTTTGGATAGGATCTGAAAGGTAGTGGGTTCAGGCCCTTCAGTATAGCCTAAGATAGGAAAGGTTAGCTGAAGTAATTTAGTTGGGGGGGAAGGGCTAGTGAACATAGTGCAGAGTAAGATCAAATGCAAATGCAATAACTGCAGGGAGTGCCACCAGATACTGCTGGATTTTGCTTCTAAAACGTTTTCCCAAAAATCACATTTTGCATCAATTGTGTGATTTGAACAAAAGCCAACTATGTCTTAAGACCCTGATACTACCATTATGCCACCAAAGCTCTCACATTAACAGCCTTTCAGAACGTAAAACTTAACATCTAAGTAGCACAGATGTCCCATCAGAAGATGAATTAACATCAAGCCAATACAATTCCTGAAGTAGACTATGGCCAAATGGATACAACACTGGTGTGCTGTCTCAGAACACTCCATAGGCTGGTTCAAAGCTTTCATGCTCTTCATAATTGATCTATGTACTTTTTTTTAAGTCACTAGATTATTCCAATTGAACTGATTGATTGGTTCAAATAATTTCAAATCTTGAACATTAAAGAGCTTCAGTAGAATACAGACATTCCTTATCAGCTCAGTTTTCATACATTTCAGCGAATAACATGATTTGGTAAAGTCTGCCTGTCTGATTTGGACGAGAACAGTTGAAAGAACTGAGGAGGAGTGAGTAGTTCAGCCCCTGGAGCTTGCTCTGCCATTCTGTACGATCATGCTGATTTCCATTTGCCTGCTCATTTTCCCATAACCTGTTGCTTATTAAAAACTGGTCCATCTCCTCCTCAAATTTATTCATTGTCCCTACCTCCACAGCCATCTTGGGTAGTGAATGCCACAGAAACGTGATCCTTTGAGAGAAGGAATTCTCCTCCTGTTTTAAAACTGCTACGCCTTAACCTACAACTATAACTTCCCATTCTAGATTGCTCCACGAGGAAACATCTGTTCTACATCTACTTTGTCACACCTCTTTAGCATCATCTCGATTAGACCTCCTCGCATTCTTCTAAACACTGGACAGTATCGGCCTCAACGGGTCAATCTCCCCTCAAATGACAAGCAAATTCAAAGGTGAAATTGTCCACACCATTTTATTTATTTTATGAGCACACTGCCCAATTTAGGATATGTCATGGCTCAATGTGGGATCACATTGCCGCTCATTAGCCCAGTCTAATTTCCTGATGTGCTGTCATCCATTTCCACCGTGTTGTGGCATAGATTCAGACCATGTCAAGACAATCACCGGAAATCCTGTGAGGGAGTAAAAGCAAAACAGTGCAGTTGCTGAAGTTCTGAAATTAAGAACTGAATACACTGGAGAAACTCTGCAGCTCTGGCAGCATCTGTGGAGAAAGCAACAGAGTTACTGATCAGAGTCTAGTATTACCCTTGTTTGGAACTCATGCTAGGGACAATCAGTTCGGTCTGGTCAAGTTAAAATCTGAAGGTTTTTGTCACATACATAGTACAAAATGGAAGGATGTCACTTTACATTAAGCTTAAAGTTTGATTTAGAAGAGCACAGTGTAGCTAGGGCAAAATAAATTCCAATTTATGAGTTTAAAATTTTATGAGGAAAAAGTTAATGGACTGACTTTGGGTTCAGAGCAATGTTTCCTTTGTGGCATACCAATGGTATAACAATTATTGCAGGAAAGTTTGGTAATGGCAGTGATACCTCTCAAATGAACAAAGCAGCTCAACGCATCAAAGTGGCTGAAATCAGCAGAGGAGGCTGATGTAAACCAATGAGTAATCACTTTGCGGCAGGAAGAAACTGTTAAGAACAAAGAAGATTACAGTACAGGAACAGGCCCTTCAGCCCTCCAAGCCTGCACTGACCTGCTGCCCATCACAACTAAAACCCCCTACCCTTCCTTCTAGTCCCATCCTATTCATATATTTATCAAGACACCCTTTAAAAGTCACTATAGTATCTGCTTCCACTACCTCCCCCAGCAGCGAGTTCCAGGCACCCATCACCCTCTGTGTAAACAACATGCCTCGTACATCACCTTTAAACCTTGCCCCTCGCACCTTAAACCCATGGCCCCTGATAACTGACTCTTCCACCCTGGGAACAAGCTTCTGACTGTCCAGTCTGTCCATGACCTTCATAATCTTGTAGACCTCTATCCGGTCGCCCCTCAACCTCTGTCGTTCCAGTGACAACAACCCAAGTTTCTCCAACCTCTCCTCATAGCTAACGTCCACCATACCAGGCAACATCCTGGTAAATCTTTTCTGTACCCTCTCCAAAGCCACCACATGCTTCTGGTAGTGTGGTGACCAGAATTGAACACAATATTCCAAATGCGGCCTAACTAAAGTTCTACAAAGCTGCAACATTACCTGCCAATTTTTAAACTTCATGCCCCAGCCGATGAAGGCAAGCTTACCATATGCCTTGTTAACTACCTTTTCCACCTGCGTTGCCACTTTCAGTGACCTGTGTACCTGTACACCCAGATCCCTCTGCCCTGTTGTATTGCTGAGCCAATGGAAGATAACTTGGGATTCCACTAAGCAACAAACAGCTGATTCTGAGGAAGAACCAAAAATAAACTGAAAAAGTCTGTATCAAAGTTCTTCCAAAGTCTATTTTTTGTTATCTCAACTACCCAATAGTCCCACAAAGCAGAGGTCAACCAAGCAGAAGTAACATGCATATCCACAGACTTCACTAGGAAAGACACAGATACCTATCCATGGGACCAATTCAGCAAACGTATGGGATGCGTGTCTACATGGAATACTCGGGAAAGACAAAGATATACATCTATGGGAAATGCTCAAGAAGGGCATGAAATGCAGATCTAAAGGGGCACTTAGGGATGTCGAGAAGTATATCCACAGGGTAGAATTTTGAATGCTCTAATTTTCAGTCTGTGAATCTAATGAAGAAGTAAATCATGTCCAGATTTGTGCAACATGACAGAGAAGTATGTTTTCTGGCACAGCCCCTTAAAGCCACATTTACCATCTGCTTCCAACATCCAGATGAGCAAAAGAGATGGCAGCTCATCATCCAACTGTTCCTGATTTCTCTCTGTACCGTTTGATCCCCTTAATCTGAAGAACTGTATCCAATTCCTTTGGCCTCAACCATTTTCTGTGGTAAGAAATTCATCACTCTCTGGGTGAAAGTATCTTACCTCATCTCAGTTTTAAATGATCATTAGACTGTGACCCCTGGTTCTGGACCACCCAGTTATTGGGAACATCCTTCCTGCATTTACCCTGTCAAGTCCTGTTTGAATTTTGTAGATCTCTGAGATCTCTGCTCCTCCTGGCACGGCCAATTTTCTAAACGCCAGTGATCATAATCCTAACTGATCCAGTCTCTCTTCAGTATGTTTGTCCTGCCATCCCTGGAATCAGTCTGGTAAACTCTGTCACTCTCCCTCCACAGCAAGAATATCCTTCCTCAGATAAGGAGGCCAAAACTCTGCACAATACTCCCGACGTGGTCTCACCAAGGACCTGTACCAGCTGGGGTACAAAACTCCAAAGACTATCAACCTTCTGAGAGAAGGAATTCCTTCTATTCTCTATCTGAAGTGGAAAAAGCCCTTAAATCTGTGTTGCAATTCAAGATTCTGCTGAAAGTTTCCTCTCGGCACTTCAGTGAAGTCCCCTCAGAATCTGAGGTATTTCAATAAAATCACCTTTCAATGTTCTAAATTACACTGAACTTCGTCCTAACAACCTCAACATTCCTCATAAGACATGCTCTTTATCCCAAATCGTTCTATAAACTGCTTCCAATGCAAGTATATCTCTCCTAGAGAGAGCAAAACTCTTCACAATTCTCTAGAATGTGGTGTCTGTACAGTTACAGAAAGGTCTCTCTACTTTTAAGCACCAACATCTTTGTTGTGAAGGACATCATTTCATTTGCCTCATCCCCCGGTGGACTTGGAGCTACTCTCCTCCTTCTGACACGCAGGCAGGTACAAACTGTTGTCTATCTTTATATTTCTCTCACCTGGGTGCCTCACTCCTGAAGTCCCAACATATCCACCGTTTTCTCCGCTTCCCGCTGGCGGACTCGACAAGAACCATGGAACTGAAACGGCGCAGGAGGAGTCCGGTCTGCCCATCATGTCTGTTCTAGTTACCGTTGCCAAATCAGTCGCGCGGACCCTTCTTTTTTTGTTGGGGGGCGGGGCGGACGGGACTGATGCTCAGCTACTGGCTAGAAGTCCGAAAGAGAAGTCAGCGATTGGCCGTTCGGAGGGTGCGCTGCTCCACGGGCCGGCTCAGGAGAGGAAGTTCCCGAAAACGCCGCACCCTCCCGCCATGTTTTGCTCCTCCTCCTCGCCGTTACGCCGGCCACTGCGCCTGCGCACTTCCTCACGCGCAGCAACCGTTGAGGGGGTCGCCGAAGCTCTGCTACGTGTCGGGCTTGCTTTATCATTTTTATTTCCCCTAATATATTGACTGCAGATATATATATATATATAGGAACGTTAAAAACGGAGAGGCTGTCTTTCCAATCACGAAGCCCCACCATCCTGTGCGAATGTAACATGGCGGCGCTCGTCTGCAGGAAGCTGTCGGTAAAGCCAAACACACAGTTTATTCACAGTTTCTGCTCAGGCGTTTCATCGTTGTTGTCGCTGGCCGAGAGCATTCGCGTGTGCTAGGCCCCGCTTCAGACCCCCGGCGGGTTACTTTGGGTCAGAAAGGAATCCAGGGCTTCCCCGACTACGATTTACCACCTGCATCATGGCGCAAAGTCAGGCGGGCGGCTTTTCAGACCGTTGCAGAACATAAAGTCACTGAGGGCTATTCTTCGACTAGGCGAATGGGTAAAACTGTGTTAGATGGAGTTCCCTGCAAGCAACTGTGAGATTCTGCGTTTTGGACCAAAAGTGGTTAAATCTGGGTCCTTTACACATAATCGCTGCTGTGGATCAATGTCCAATGACCCCGAAGCAAATTAGCCAGGGTTTACCATAAAGATTTAAGCCGAGAGGTGCATTGGGCATTAAAATTTCACGACCAGCTACAGGAAATAATTAAGGTGACTTATGGTATGCTGGTTTTTGCATGTAGTGGACTGGAGTACAAGTACGCAGAAGTTATGCTGCTTAGACGCTGCTTGCGGTACTATGGACAGATCTGAGCATCACATTTAGGAACAGATATATTGTTCATCAAGGGAGTGCAACATGGGCTCACAAACATGATACCTACCTGCATGGGTTATGTCACGAGGAGAGATTACACAGATTAAGCTTGTTATCTCTAGAATTTATTAAGAGGTGATCTGATAGAAATCTTTGTACTGTTTGCAGGAAAAGACGGGCAGCTAATGGTAAACTATTTGCACTTTTGGAGATTCTGGAAGTACAGGCAATACTTGTAAGAATTAAGACCAGAACATTTGGAGAGATGTTAGGAAGCACTTGTACACACAATGGATGATAGAGGTTTGGGACTTGGTTCCTCAAGTGGCTTGGATACCAGATCAGTTGTTAACTTTAAATCTGAGATTAATAACTGAGTTTATCAAAGTTTAAGGAAATGGGCCAAAGACAGGTCTATGGAGTTCAGCCATGATCTCATTGAATGGTTTGAACAGGAGAGAGGGGCTGAATGCCCTACTCTATTCCTATATGAATACAATGGCTGCAAGAATAGGTCTGAGACTTGGAATCATGCACAGATTAACTCAGTGCCCAACCATGCCTCTGCAAAATCTACAAGGAAGAAATCAAGAGTGTGATCGAATACACCCATTTGCTTCGATAGTTGCAGTTAAGTTGCTAGTTTATTTGACATCCTATTCACTCCCTTCATCACCAAGGCATAATAGCAGCAGTGTGTAATACCTTCAAGTGCACTGCAACAACTCAAAGACTCCGCCAAGAGTACCTTTCAACCCTGCAACCTTACTGCAGCCTGCAAGTTCCCTTCCAAGTCCCACACCAACTTGACTTTGAACTGCTGTCACTGGGTTAAATCCTGCAATGCTCTTACATTTAAAACTGAGAATGTAGTGGCTCTCATTCAACCTGTGATGAACTGCTAGGCATAGATTATAAACGCTGGTCTTGCCAGCAACGCCTGCATCCTGTGAATGGACATTAATAGTGACGATTTTTCTTGGGAGACTTGACTAGAATTTGTTAAAATTATAGACACAAACAGCCAGAGCTCACATGAAACACAAAATGAACATACTGGATCACACAAAAAGGCAAGATTGGGTAAAAATTTAAATTTTAACACATAGTTTTCCAAGGGCCAAATGGCTTCCTCTTTGTTTTGATATTTACTAATTCAGGATAGACCGTTCATTAGCATTCCATATTTCTTTTCCCCCACTCATCTCTTTTTGTCTTTGGCAGCTGAGAAACTTCTTTTACAACTGAATTCTGTACACCACCTTTCCTGACCAACAGACTCCTGAAAGTACTTTACAGCAATGAAGTACTTCTGAAGTGTTATCACTGTTTTTTAAAAAACAGAAAAGCCACTTTATACTGGAAACAGTAATGTGAGGACAATCTATGTGCTGATATTCTATGTTGGGGTGTTAACTGAGGGATAACAATTGTTCAGGACTACACATGTAAGTACCCTACACTGGAACAGTGCCATGTGATTTTCACAGCCACCAAAGAGTGCTGACAGGGCCTCAGTTTAATGTGTTATAGTGCTCTGTAAGTGCTACACTGTCTCAGCACTACACTGATATGTTAGCATTCACTTTTGTGCTCAACTCCTGGAGGGGAACTTGAACCCAAAATCATGTGACTCAGAGAAGGTGATCTACCATTAGTTTGAACACTTGAATAAAAGCAAAATACTACGAACACTGGAAATCTGAAACATTGAAGGTGCTGGAGAAACTCAGCAGGTCTAGCAGCATCTTTAGAGAAGGAAACAGAGTTAATGTTTTAAGTCCATTTTGACTATTTTTCAGTTTTGCCAGACCTGCTGAGGTTCTCCAGCATTCTTTGTGTGCATTTGAAGTTTGAACACATTTGACAAGTTCTTATTTAACCTGTGTTCTGAGTTACATAATAATAATGAGGACCATAGACAAATCATGAAATCTAACCTTTTTATTCCAAGAGTGAGATGTCTCAAAAGTACGTATTCATTTAAATATTAGATTTGATTCTCTTGTCACAGATGCCAATTACAAAATGTTGATATTTTCATCACATGGGCTGTTCACACTTCACAATCAGATGATAGGAATACAGTGAAAATATTAGTGCATTACAAAGTCTCTAAGTCTGAAACTATGATAATAAAACAAAATGTATGTTTTTCCTGTGATCAACACTCACCTTTGATAGCAAGATATTTTGGTGCTGTTGTCCCCAAAATAATTATAAAGGGATCAGTATTAGGTTTCTCATTGGCAAGCAAAATGAGAAGACACAGGAGCTGAAGCCTGCTTTTCCCCCTACACTGCATGGCTGTTTCTTGAGTTCCTTTTGTCTTTTTCGCACCTTGCTCCTTGACTGCTGAATTCAAGTTGGGCTTTTCAGGGAGAAAATGCAAACTGGGGAGAAATTCCTGAAACTGTTGTGATTTATAGCCCAATGTTACATTTGGATTCTTGTTGTCTGTTCATTTGTGTTTTTAGAATTATATATTCAAATTTTATTAACAGCAATTTAGAGAAGTCTACAAACTGTGATAGTTGAGGGTGATTCTAATGGTACCAGGGGTTTGAATAGACAATTGGCATAATGTGTGTTTATCTCATTGAAGTTGTGAAGACAGCTTCCTGCTCTCTTGCCATAGTGTGAGTGAACTCTGCCCTGGGTCTTGGTTCATCTTTCCTGGTTTGTCTTCCATCTAAATAAAGGCAGCTACCTGATGAGCACAGCCACCTGAAGAGAAAAAAATCTGATGTGTTCATTTCCAGCCCAGCCAGACAGTGCTGGGTCTAGTTCCCATTCTGCCCAGCTGGACCAATCCTGTACTGTACCATCTGTCCATTTATTTATTTACTGCTGGTCAATCAAGACAGAGATTGATGCTGCCAGATCTGCAGACTTTGTCCATCATTCTGTGTTTGTTTTAGATTTCCAGCATATGCTGTAGTTTGCTTTTTTTTTAAAATCAAAGATATCAGCCAGCAAAGTGCAATTGTTTATTTCAACTATTGAGAGTTAAGGAACACAAGCTTTCACGAATTTTACTGAAGAGGAAAAGCCTTGATCTAGTTGTGTTTAATTGCACAATTTTTTTTTCCCAAAAAGACAAGAACTTACTTTGAAGACATTAACACTTGAAAATTCAATTTCAGGTTTTGTCATTTTGGCAGTGTGCGATTGCGTGGAGAAGGGCTGTTCACACAACAGGATCATGCTTCAAGGTAAAAGGTTTACATCAGTAATAATCTAAGTAGTGGGTGGATCTGGTGAACTCTGAGCAGGCAGCTGAAAATAATTATCAGGGATTAGACTGAATAATCTGCTGCCTTGAAGCAATCTTGATGAATTTATAACTGGTGAAATGTTGAAGATTTACCAAGCAAAATTAGGACAGTGGTGGGGCTGGGGTTCAGAGGAGAAACAGATAGAGTTGACCAGAGGTTGTCGATTTCAAATAGTTCACAGTGGGCTGTGATGTGGCTTAGAGCTTGCAAGTGCATGTGTTCCCATGTACCTGCTGCCTGTGTCTTGCCAAGTGCTGGAGATCTTGGGTTTGGAAACTGCTGTTTTTAAGGAGTGTCGGTGGAAGACTATGTCGGTGTAATGTGTCTAGCCTTAGGGAGGAACATGAAATAGAGGCTACAATCAGATCAGCCATACCTTATTGAACAGCACAGCAGGCTCAACAAGCCCATTGACCAAATCCTGCTCTAAATTCCTCTGTTCATCTGATACCACTATCTCTGCATTGGAGGTGCACCTTCCAAATCTTGGGGATGTGAGGCAAATGATCGAACCATATTTTGTGTTCTAATTTTGAGAGGCAGGTATGAAAGGCTGGATTAAAAGATGCTCAGTTTAACAAGGAACAAGCACTAAATGACTCTGCATTTTCTAGAACCGAGCAGCCCGCATTCGTGTTGGAAAGGGTGATAAACCAGTTACCTACGAGGAGGCACATCCCCCTCACTTTATCGCTCACAGAAAAGGGTGGCTGTCCCAACACACCAGTAAGTGATGCAGAACTTAATTTTCTTTTTTTTTTAGAAACAGTGTTGTGTCCTGAGTGTGGCTAGTTAAATATAAAATGCCCCCAAGAATTGGGTACAAGGAGTAGTACAGTTCATCAAAATGTGGATGTCCAGTGAAGCTCCATGAGGCTTTAAACGTCCTGTCTGATTATATATAAGTTTGAGGCAGAAGTAGGCCATTCGGCCCCTCCAGCTTGTTCTGCCGTTGAATGAAATCATGGTTGATCTGATCGTGTCCTCAATTCCACATTCGATCTTACTCATTACCTTTGATTCCTTTGTTACCAAACAATCTGTTTCTCTCTGCTCTAACAATTATCAGTGACCCTGCCTTCACCATTCTCTGACCAAAGATTTGCACAGACTCTCAAACTTCAGAGCAAAAATATGTACTTTAATATTCCATGTTTTGCAGCAAACCACTTTAACACAACAACTTGAGAATCAATACATGATTTAATATTAATATTTTTATTAATATCAATGTAAAATTGAACAAGGTTGAAAGGTTTATACTTAAATTTAATGTAATCTGCTTTCGATATTCTGTTTTCAAAATGTTCTTCAATCTGTGATTCATTACAAAACAACTTTTCACGCAATTGGTTCTTGTCAGACTTGCCTGAGAGTGGTGCTGTTGAGCATAATTTTGTCATGCTTGAGAGATCTGGCATTAGATTTCTGGTGGTTGAGGACTGCCAATGCAATTAGAAAGATGTAAATACCTTTCTCTTGATTCAGGCAATCTGGATGGTGAGGAAGGAGCTGCAGACCGCACAGTTGAGGATGTTTTCATCCGCAAGTTTATTTATGGAACCTTTCACGGCTGTCTGGCCAATGAGGTGGTTGTGAAGAGAAGAGCAAACATGATTATCATCTGCGCCATCTTCATTCAAAAATTGCCACCTCAAAAGTTCTATTTCCTGATTGGCTACACAGAGACTCTCCTCTCAAACTTGTACAAATGTCCTGTCAAAATGGAAGTGCAGACAGTGGATAAGAAGATTGTATATAAATACATCTAACTGGATACACAAAGGAAATGACTGAATAGCACAAGCTTTTGTTATTGACTGAGTATTGTAACCTGGTTTTGTCAATTTGGAAAAAATCTCAGCTCTACTTGGTATTTTGGGCACCAAATGGAAAGTGCTGTAGTCATTTACATGGTGTGTGGATATTTTTTGGTTGACTTTGCCAGTTTTGTCCCTTTGGCCACCTTCTCAGAAATTATACTATGTTTCTGGGTGCAGTTCACATTAGAAACTGTGAGCTTTGTCAATGAAATACTAAGGCCACCAATTCCCGTGCCATATCTTGTGACAAAAGGCAAAACAGAACTTAAAGGCCAAATCAGTGAATTGCTAAACACTGCCCATCACCTCTGACTGCACTTGCTCATTGGCTGTCCTGAGCCAAATCAGAGAAACTAGCGGTGGGCCTATTTAGATGTGCCATCTTCGTCCACTCTTAATTTTTCAGAAATAGTCATGTTGACCTCTGAGTCAGGGAATTAAATGTTGAGAACAATGTCCAACCATAGCTGGTTGTTATGGAATAATGGTGAATGCCAGGAGCCACACCCAGATTGTCCTATTCTGTGGACTGAGGTGGGACTCTTAACATTGGCAGCATTTTCCATTTGATAGCACCGAAACATCATGACTAGCCCCAGGCCTATAGTCACACCAATAAAATCATGTACCAGACTGATCTGACATTCTTAAAATACCTGCATGGATCTTTTCCTGTGAATAAACAGCTTACTGTCAGATCTTGATACTGCATTCACATGGCTGTAATCCAGATTTAATCATAGTCTGCAAATAGAAGAAAAATGTTATTGAGAACATTTATCAGCCACTATTTTGAAAGGTCAGGATGATATGCTGCCTTCCTTTGGTGTTCTTCTTCATTACAAGGGTCAACAGCAAATCTGCGTTTTATTTTTGGAATGTTTTGAGATTTTCTTCGCTGAGTCTCCACAAGGCAAGTTGAAAATCTGAAGTCAGTATATTTCCAAGGTTAAGATAACTTACAAACAGACCAACAAGGTTCTGAGGGCACAAATCAGTCTGAGGAACAGTGGACTAACCTCCAGTCATAGATCAGACCTGGCAGTCAAATTCCACTTTGTTTCTATCCTTTTACAGTAAATCCTCTGTATCTGCAAAATCAATCACGTATATGCTATTTTTTAAATGAGCTCTGCACTTGCAAATTTTATCATTCATGAGGGCTTACCAGGAACAAACCCTCATGGATACGGAGGAATGACTACTCTATCCACAGTACGTAGAGTAAATCGCAAGACTCAAGTTCGTTTGCATGTTCCTCATCTCCTTCGCTGGTGGTAGCCACTTTCTCGAACAACTGCAGTCTGTCAGGTGGGAGTTCTAGAATTTTAATCTCATAACAGGGAAGGAACAGCAATGTCGTTCTGAGTGACTTGGAGGGGAGCTTGCTGGTGGTTGTTCTTCCAAATTCCACATCAAAGACAAAGTGCTGTCAAAGTGTTCCCATAGTAGATCTTGTAAATGGCATACTGCTGTCCTTGTGCATCTGTGATTGAAAGAAGGTTGATGGTGGTGACTGGGTTGTCAATAAGCAGGCTGCCTTGACCTGAATGGTGTCAAATGTCTCAATTTTGTTGGATCACACTCATTTCGCAAAGAGCAAATATTCCATCACAGTTCTTATTGTGCTTTGTTGATGGTGAACAAACTTTGGAATGTGAGCAAATTAGGCACCTACAACAGAATTCCCAGTGTCAGACTGGCTATTGTAACGACTGTATTTATAAGATGGTGGGGGAATTCAGTGATAGTGATGCCATTCAATCTCAAGATGACAAGGTTCAACTTAATTCTTGTATGGAGACGGTCATTGCCTGGCTCTTGTGTGGAATGCATATAGTTAGCCACATACCAGCCCAAATCTGAATTTTGTCCACATTGTGCACAAAGACTGACTCAGCACCTGAGGCGTTACGAATGGTGCTGAACATTGTGAAATCCTCAGACAACAGCCCCACTTCTTGGGATATTCTTGGAGGGAAATTCATTGATAAAGCAGCAAAGGAAAGACATGACCTTGAAGAACAAATAACTAGAATTTTGCTACTGCTCCTCGCTGCTACACTTGGTCAGTGATGGATTCTTACCAAGGCACACTCTTGCCTCGCCATCGGACTTGAGCTCTTTTATCTTTGACTGGACCAATGCTGAAATCCTGAGTGAATCCAAACTAAACAATGTTAAGCAAACAAAAAAAAAAATCACTTGAGAGTACTTTCAATATTTTGCAATTGTTTGAGAATCAATGGGTTAGAAAATAATTGGTTTTCTTAGAATTTTACTGTTTTTCCAGACAGGATACACCTTAGTAATTTTTCACATTTATCACAGCAGTACAGGAACAGCTTGGCTCGTGAGCATAAGTCTTCAGCGTTCTAGCCGTAATGTTGTCAGGCCCAAGAACCTTCTCCCTATTCAGTATGATCGGCCATTTTTAATGTCACATAAAGTGAATTGAATTCTTTGAAGTCTGGCTTGTGATGGTGGAAGCAGTAGGAGTTGGAATTGTATTATCCGCTCAGCCTTCTGGCTCAAGCTAGTCGCAGCCTTTATGAGCATTTACAGTCTCATGCACCAGTCCAACTTTGAGGGCGTGAATGCACGCTGTTTAATTGCCTGCATAATACAGGAAATTAAGCAGAACTTCAGAGCTTTGATTTTGTTTGTTGGCTGTGGGATTGCTTCGGTCTTGTCCATGGCATGTTTTTCTCCTGCTGGTGGTGGGGTCAAATGATACCATGGCAATTCGTGGAATTTAAAATCCCTTTGTTAATTTGGACTATAAATCTAGTCACAGCAATGGTGACCAGGAAACCATACCCGATTGTCTGAAGACCCATGAAGTTCATTAACCTGCCTGAGGGAACCAAATCTGCTGACCTTATTTTGTCTGACCTACATGTGACTCCAGATCCATAGCCACGAGATCAACACAAGTATCCTCTGAAATGACCTAGCAATCTCCTCGATGCAAGGAATAGTTAGTTAAAGGTGGGCATCAAAAACGAGAGATTCAGCATTTATATTACAGCTGATCACAGAGAAACAGGCTAGTCAGCCCAACAGATCAGCTTGTGAGTCTCATCTCTGCCGCATGCCTTGCACCCAGGTTCACCTTGAATGGAGCTGTACGATTCAACTCAACCACTGTTTCCTAGTTTCTGGGGCCTGTCAATGTAACAGAAAGCCACATATATTTTACAGAAAGCAAGAAGCAGCACACACTTGCAAGGTCCATTTTCTCTGCTGTTCTTCAAAGAACGATCCATTTAATTGGACTTGTAAAACATATCCGTTTCTATTTTGCATTCCGCCTTTGGAATCCATGGTTGGGTCTTATTCTCTGAGGCTTCAGAAGAAAAGATAAACCTGATAGTTGTTCGATCCACTCAGACTTCTTGCCCACAGTAAAGGAGGATAGAAAACAAATGAAAATCAGGGAAAAATCTTTCAAATTCTACTTTTGCTACTTCATTGCTGGCACTGTGCCCTCTGATTTTACAAGGACTGAAGTGCTTACAGAGGAGTTTTTGAGCCATCATTAACTTTGCTCATCAATGCTCATCTCCAGCATAAACCATTGATGCTACATGGAAGGTAACAGTGGGCTCTGTCCTTGAACTACTGCAATCTTTCTGGTGATTGTTTTACCACAGTTGTATTAAATACAATACCAACCAGTGAAGTCGTTGGAGAGCGTACTGCAAGATATTACATTGTACATTAGATGCAATGAGCGCCAACCAGCCTGGTTATCATCTCCCACCCTTCTTTCTTTATACCGTTCTGAGACAGGCCAGCTCAGATTTTTCCAGAATGTTCAATAGGGGGATATAATTCTGGCTGTTTGATGCATCAAAGAATACAGGAAAGATTAGCAAGTTAGTGGATTGTCCATGGTTTAAAAAAAAACTGCCCCTCCATATCCTGTTATGTGAAGCCTTGGAGGGTCAGCCATGGCAAAAACCCTATGCAGGAATAAGGTAGTGGTGGGGGGGTTTGGGTTTGGGTCTGGGCGGGATACTCTTGCGAGAGTCAGTGCAGACTCCATGGGTCAAATTGCTTCTATCTGAACAAAAGATTCTATGAAAAATTCCTTGGACCATCAAGCTAATCTCCTCGGGTTTCCACCTCTCTCCTACCAACTCACTTTACCAACTGGTTCCGTCCAGTTTTCTTCTGTTTTACATTGATACCCTCCACTGTCAAGTCCAAACTATGTATCATTATATCTATTTCGATAACATTCATCTTCATTAGTTTTATTCCATTGTCTGTGCTGTCTGCTGGCATCTTCCATAAACTCCTAGGTGAAGTAAATTTAGCTTGTCACAAGCTTGACAATGTTCAATTTACGCTTACCTGTATTGGTTCTCCATCTCCACAATCACTCTCCAGCACATGATTCTGCCCTTAATATTCTTTTCCTCCAGGAACACAATATACTGTGCATCTAACTCTTTCTGCAGCCACTTCAGTCCTATATTTTCGAGATCGCTCCCAAGATTCCTTCAAATGTAATCCATGCCTAATGCTAAACCTATCTGGTTTGGCCTCATCATTTATGAAGTACGTTTGGATTTTTGATCAACATAAAAAGCACAGTTTGCTCAACTGAAAATTATGCCTCTATTAAACAAGCATAGAAATCAGAACCTCCATTTAAACACTGAGATTGTTTATTGAAATTAATGTCAAGCAAGTCTGTGTATTTTCCCTTTCAGATCAATGGAATGTCATTACAAATCTCCAGAATGAACCTTTTATGAAAGCAAACCATGGCAAAATTCCAACTGTAACCTGAAATAAAATTTTCTTTAAGAAAAGGAGCCATCTCAGTGACTGATCATATACAAAAAGAATTCAAACAATCCTACATTCAAACACATAGAATACAGTCACAGGCTAGATTACAAGCAGTCCAATTGGTGAGGAGAGGGCAATGTCCATGTACATTCAGTAAAGCTCCAAGTTTTCTCACACTGTGCAATTACATGTGGAAATTACAAGGTTTAAGAGCAGCAGTCCTCAAACTCTGAACAGCAACACAACATCTTTGCAACAATACACCCCAAGTGGTTCAATAAGGGAAATTAGTGTTTGTCTGTTCTGTCAGCATTCTGAATCCCGAAGTCCTGTCTTTTTTTATATATAAAGCAGGTAGATTTTCTCAAAACAAAAGGAAACATGCTCATTTACAATGAGCTGTACAAATGCCATTTTTTAAATAATTTGGAAATACGAAAAGAATCTGTTTTCAATTGCTATGCAACTTCATCCTATTGTACAAGGTATTTGCAAGAAACACCACTACTTGATGAGCTATATTGACTTGTAATTTGTCAACCATTCATGGCGATACAAAAATATACTGCAGCACAATCTACCTATAAATAAAGTTACAAAAACAAATATAACTGAAATGATACTGAACTTTCAAGTAATAATACCTTAAACACTTGGTGTGAAGCCAGGTATAAGGAGAGCGACTGTTTCGTACCAGTGACGATTCTCATGAATCAACACCCTTGAGTTGGATTTTAACGCGTTTTTTTCTTGCAAATACAACTTTAGCATCCAAAACGCGGAAACTTTAAGTGCAATATCTTTTCTGAACTTTATAGCTGATGCTTTTAAAAAAGAAATAAAATCCCTTGCTACTTCAGATGTACAAAACTGACAGATTATTTGGACCTCAGTGTCA